AGAGGAAAAGGGAAAATGCAAATGAGATATGCTCAACAGAAACAGAGGTAGATGGATAATTTACTCTGAAAAGCTCCAGACACTTGGTTATCATTTGTAACTTAGGGCTGTACACACTGTGTTGCTCTCTTTCTAAGAGGACTGGAATTTTATTTAAAATATCTAGACTTAAATTATTTAAATCAATTAACATTTACTGAGGCCCTTCATTATGCTAGGCATATAGAAGTGAGATACAAAGATAAACAATGACTTATTACCCATCTTCTTTCAGAAAGAGTTTAAGTGGTATGGCCATATTCCTGCCTTTGAGAGTCCAGGCACAGACTTGAAACAAGCAGAATGAGAAAAGTACAGTGATGGAGATAAATATGTTATGGAAACCCAAGAGAGGGACAGAGTAATATTAGGTAGTGGGAAGGCCTTTACACAGAAGTGTACTTGAGATAGACACTTAAGAGTGGGTCAGTTTTTAAAGAGAAGGTATGTGTGTGAATAAGAAGGGAAAAAATAAGAAAGCCCTTTTGAAAGAGAAAGCATTTTACAAATGGATGTAGGAGTTTATGGAGTAAGTAATTGGCTTAGTATATAAGGATGAGTGGATCATGATTTTCAAATTATAATGAATTGAGGACTGAGCATTCATTTTTATGTTTTATGTTTTATTAGTTTCATGTTCTGATTTGGGCTCAGATAACCTAGTTTCAGCTACAGGATCTAAAGAATAGTCCAGTTGTAACAAACTAAAGGCAATGTTCTGACACCGTTACCCTGTTCCCTCCACCCCTCACCTCCATTTAACAACAGTTGCGTAAGGAACTGCCTTCAGAATTTTACAGAGCTTAATTCATGTGTCATGAGTACAGTTGTGTCATTTAGTTAGGACATGACATGACTGAGAAATCAGTACAGAATATAATGTTTAAATGTTTTACAGTCTCAGTGGTGATCTAGATCAGGTTTTCTTCAACTAGTTCGTCAGAAGCTACTTTTCATTTCCTGCAAGTATTTAGATTACAGGGCTGGAGGAATTACTGCAGACTGAATTCAATATCTGTAGTCATAAATAGGAGTGGTCAGGTGCAGCCAGACTTGTACCCAGAGTTAAGCCTGTTTGTTTCCCTTCTCTACCTGGAGGACCTGGTAAATGAGATGAAGCACTGACCCCTGACTTAGATCTGGCACCCAATTCTAACTGTTTAATTCCCAAATGACCGTCAGCATTCTTAGGTTATAATTCTCTTTCCTTAATTATAATCCTAAAACATAATAACTAAAGCACTTAAAATAATAATTTGATGTTAGTAGGTTTAGGGGACAATCTAAGAGAGAGAAGGAAAGGAAATAATACTTACTGAACACTTGAACACCTTCCATGTTCCAAGGCGGTTCTAGATGCTTCACGTGTAGAAGCTCACAATTTTTATGATGAACGTCTGAGGTAGATTCCCAGTTTACGGATGAAGTCATACCACACAGCTCTGCTCAGGTTTATTAGAATCTCTTATATCGTCCTTTCATTTATCAATGTTATTTTCTCTGCCTCTCCACTGAGAAAATTTGGCCCCAAATGTGACTTCATGAAGAGCCTCCTGCGACTGCCCTGGTGTTGAGCAGCTGCACACAACATGTGTTCTGTGTGCCTGAGGACGAAAGCAGCTACTAAGTTTCCAGAGACTGTACAGTAGTGCCCCTGAGGTGACCTTCAGACTGACCAAAATCACATTTGCTGTGTTTTCTAGCTTTTACTTTTTTGTGAGTATTAAATTTGAGTTCATTTCTGTTTGCCAGTTTAACTGGTGTCATTTGATCCTGTTATGAATTTATAGTCTAGGTCAGTGACTGTCAGTATTACCAGTACAAAGTCCTCTGTTTACTGTTCAATTTTCATGGACAGGGGTCCCTACAAGAAGGAAAATATACTCTTAGTATCCAATATTAGAGAACAAATAACGACAAAGCTTCTGTTAGGAACTTAGTTATTGTTTTTATTTTTTAAATTTTTTTTTAATTATTATTTTTTTTGTGGTACGCTGGCCTCTCACTGTTGTGGCCTCTCCCGTTGCGGAGCACAGGCTCTGGACACGCAGGCTCAGCGGCCATGGCTCACGGGCCCAGCCGCTCCGCGGCATGTGGGATCTTCCCGGACCGGGACACGAACCCGTGTCCCCTGCATCGGCAGGCAGACTCTCAACCACTGAGCCACCAGGGAAGCCCCGTTATTGTTTTTAAATGAACTCAGTTGTATTTTTTAATGAATTGGCATTTTAATTAATTGCATCTACATTGAAATTTGAAAGACAGTATTTTCATTATGCTTTTAAAGACTATAATGTGGTTTTTATCGATATTATATAGATATTTGCATTAATTCAGGGCTAGGGCCCATTTTAAGGTATAACTTGAGATATAAAATGTCTTAAAACCTGTTTAAAGGCTTAGAAGATTATCTGAAGTAGAACAACAGTAATAAGCATTTCTGTTAATCTAATATTTAAGAAAGACTTTCAGGGATTTAGCAGCCTGTTCATTTCCAGAGCAGATTTTGGAAGTTACTTTTTTTTTGCTAGAACTGTATGGTCTGGCCCCCACTCATATTCAAGTTTTGGCTTTTTTTGTGGCACCTTCCCTGGCATATTCCCAGGGAACTTACTCACCAGGCTCAATCTGATGACAGTGTATGCAGGACGGGGGACCACAGCTCCAAGATGAACTATGGACTGCAGTAAACTGCATCTTCTGTTTGAAAGATCTAATAGAAGACCCCGTAGTGGCTAGACCCATTCCTGAGGGAAGTGCCAGGGCTATGGCCTGACACACTTTATATACTCAGTGCTTTGAGGCTTCAAAGTAACATTGAGGGAACCAAGTAAATGGGGCTTTCTTTTCTTTACGTATGACTCTTACGTGTATGTATATATGTATGTATGTTGGGATTTGGGGGAGGGAGTGATGGGAGAAAAGGCATCTTTATATTTTATTTTTGCTGGCAGTAGCATGAACAAATGGCCACTTCACATATTAGGACAAGGGTAAAACTAAGGATCCTTTCTGGGCATCTGCACTAATTATAGCCTGAATAAGTTGTTATCTCATTCTCACTCTATCTCCCATTGATTTTATTTTGTTAAATAAATTTTGAAAGCACTTATACTGATGGATATTGGTGCTGAATACAGAGTAGAAACTCAATAAATACTGGCTAGATGGTTAAGGAACGTTCTCACTGACAGCTCTTTATGTATCTTAAGATTTTAAACTATAGTATAAAAGAAATTGATTTTCAGTATTTTTCAAAGTGTATTTTAAAAAATATTTTATATTTCTGTATCAGCTAGTTACATTGACGAGAGCCAAAATACTTTTTTTGGCTAATATCCAGCATTAAATGTATCATACCTTCAACTGATAGCCATGGTAACTTTCCAACCTGACTGATGAATAATACAGTCTAAAAATTAACTTAGAAGAGCTCATCCCCCATGCTGTCCTAAGAAGACCAATTATATAATCTGCTCAACTAGTGACTTGCATTACTAGCTAACATTGTTGAAACTTTATTTCTTCATTATGAATCAACTATCTTATTAGGGGAGAATGAAATTATACAAAGCTTATTCTTTAGTGCTCTACAGGTTGGGATTATCATTGCCTTTTTTTAAAGGTCATTTTATTCACATTTCTTTATTAGTTCACATCTATAATTTTATTTATTTATTATTTCCTTACTTACTTATTTATGGCCATGCCACGCGGCTGGCAGGATCTGTTTCCCGACCAGGGATTGAACCTGGGCCGCAGCAGTGAAAGCACTGAATCCTAAACACTAGGCCACCAGGGAACTCCCTATCATTGCCTTTTAAGATGTCTGTCAAGTGTTTGAATAGCTGCTACCATGAACAGTAGTAGCATAAACTTTTTGTGTGTTTTTGTCTCTGACTTTCCTTTCAGGATCACTCTTCCTTACTCATGATAAATCTCAAGAGGCTTCTGTAGAACAGAAATCACAGAATTAAAATCTGATTAACAAAAATAATGGGGTTATCAATCCTGTTCTATCAGGGCAACTGCATCTTTTCTAAGCATGTGATGATGAGTAATTCCATTAGACAG